GAGATGTATGCATGACCAACATGTATAGTTAAAAAATATACATGTTACTTTTTAATATTTTCCACTTACAAGACAAGAAGACTGCATTGGAAAGCTGAGGTGGATATTATTCATGAGAAAATGATTTCTAACTTTCGTGTTGAAGTTAATAGAGCAATAACAACACATCGTTATTTAATAAGGCTTGACAATAACTTGGTATCCATTTAAAATGGTTGATAAATCTGTATGTGTGTACATGCATGTTTATGTGTATACATGTATAGATGTGTATATGTGTGAAGAGCATATAATTTAAATTATATCAATGCATTATATAATGTCATTACACAAAGGTTACGTATTATAAAATATATGTTAATATATAATTTTATTATATAAATATATGATGTGTTTATTATACAGGTATACTATATAATGTTATATGTAATATATAAATGATTGGTAAGCCTTTTTGAAGGTATACAGTGTTAAGTTGTACAGATAGTTCTAGCCAACATAATGTAACTATCACACTGAAACTTTCGGGAACAGTTGAGCTTTTAAAATACACAGCCCTGGATGGACACGGGATTTTGCTGGCTCCTGGCCTGTTTACTTTCCCGCCGACTGTCTGTGGCAACAGCCTCCCTGTCAGCCTCCTTGACACTCGTGTCTGAAAGGCAGCAGGTTTTCCTTCACCCCCGGGCTGGGGACACACTAACCTCAACTGGTCTCAAGCATTGTAGACACAGATGCTGAGGAGACCAACGCTCAGCACCCAGCAGCCGTCACTCCTGGGGGACAGGGCCTTCCTACCCAGAGCCCGAGGTCTTCACGTGTCCCTCCCTGAGAGTGCCCAGTACGGAATTCGGGGAACAGAAGGGACTTCAAGAAGCACAAAGTCATGACACTGATTTTACAGGATGGGCCGACTCGGGACTAGAGAATATCACCCAGAACCGAACACACCAGCCTGTAGTTCATTCGGCTCAGCTTCCGTGCTCTCTGCACTGGACTTTCCCTTTTCAAACGCGTGAACACGCACAGACCCTCCCAGTGCCTCTCCCATGTCATCACAAAGTATCACGGGTGGACCCCCCTCATCTCCATGTGCCTGGGGGCCACACGTGTGTCTGTCTGCAGGTATCTCTGAGCTGCAGATCATGGTGACGGGTCTCCGTCACTTTCTCTGAAGAAGCCCAGATCCAATGACACGCAGGTGTCCAAGGTGGGGGAGCTATGATGAGTAAAATTAAATTTGCCAGCTTAGATCACTGGCTACAAACAGTCCCAGGTTCATATTTCCTAGAATTAAGTAAAAACTGAAAAGCACCGGAGAGAGGTAGGAAAATGCAGGGTTCGCCAGCATGATGCAGAGAAGGAACAGATCAGTGCAGCCCCAACGTGGTCACCCGATGCCGAAAAGGTCCAAGAGGCCACAGGCAGGATCGTCCTGGGGGTGGTCCCGGGAGAGTGGACCAGAAGGCGCAGGCTTCAGGCACAGACGCGTGAGCGCAATGTCAGAGTGACCTTCGCCTGTGCGGATATTCCTGACGAACAGCCCGGACCACCTGCTCATTAGTGCTACTGCTAAAACCAACCAAGTGGCACTGATGGGCAGGACCGTGGACCTTCTGAACGTGACGCCGCATGGGAGCGGGCACACCCGAGTTAAATCAGTCGCCGCGTCGGCCAGCGGGGAGGGGAGGCCCCGGCCCAGGGAGCAGAGTGGAAGCCCATTTGGTTACACAGCACTGAGGGCCCACCTTCCTTTGCTGCTACTGGGAGAGGGGATACGTGAACGGCAGACTCCTGCGACGCCCTGCGTGTGTGGGACCGCGCCATTAAGGCAGTTTCGTCCCACGTTCTTCTCGGGAATAGTTCACGAGAACCACAGAGTCCTCTCCGCCTGCCTCCACGCAGACCCACCACTCGGGGCTGGCGCGCCCTGACCTCCACGCCTCCTTCCAGGGAATCCCAACCGCCCGGAGCTCTGCCTGATGTGTCAGCAGCTTTTAATACCCACATTCCGGAGAAATCTGTTACCCTGTGAAACTTAATCTCGCCTATTTAAGCTTGCAGAGAGAACGGGAGGGAATCCTTAACAGATTTCCCCTCGTCTTCCCGGTGAGCGCTGCCAGGTGACCTCCGCCGAGGGCCCGGAGCACTGGAGCGGGAGCCTGTTGGCCGTGTCCTGCCCTGAGCCAGTGCCCGAGGCCACGAGGGAGCCGGGAGGACATCGGGGATCAGAACTGCGGCAGGATGCTGAGAGGCCTCCGCTGCACCCAGTCCGATCGGACCTCCCTCCTGCAGTGCGCACGCAGGCTTTCCTAAAGAAGACAGAGCCCGCCCCGGACAGCCCAGGGCTGCAGCCTCTGATGAGACAGCTGGGGGCCACACACACCATCCCTGAAATCCGGGGACCCGCAGCCTCAGCATCGAAGGGCAGCTTGTTAAAAGTGCATATTCTCAGGCCCTTGGATCAGAACCAGGACCTCGCGAGCTGTATCTGGAAACCCCCTTTATGGGGTTCTGCTGTAAAGAGAAGCCCAGGACCTCTGCCTTGGGGAAAGGAGTGTGGCTGCCCCTGCTGGGCGGGTCTACTAGTGGTGCCGCCCACTCTCGTCAATCAAAACAACAGGTCAGGATCCCAAGCATGTTCTTTGTTACATCTGCTGTGCACAGGGTCCCAGACAGTGCCAGGTCAACTGTAACTGGCCTTCGTGGCGACTCCTGGTCGTCAGCAAAGGCTGAGGGAAGTGGACGTGTTTTGCACATCCCTGTCCCCAAACCCACCCGACCAGACGGCAGACTTGATGTCCCCATGAGGACGTGTCTGACCACCAGGCCTGTCCCAGCAGACAAATCTCACTGCCTCCAAATTGCACCCAGGAGCCCCAGCCCGTGAAACCACACACACCTGAGAAAACCCTGAATGTCACCGTTTCTGAACCCCACCGACTCTAAACCAGGTGTGGGGGTGGTGTGTGTGCAATGCGGTGGAACGCACAGCGGGGCCGGGGCAGGCACAGAGGACGTGGGCCCGGCAGCAGGGTCTCCCCACCAGGCCAGTCTGTCCTGGGGCACAGTCTCCGGTCCCGACGTAGACACATGCAGTGGGACCCGCTCCTGACCAGGCCTCCCAGGTGCCAGCACTGCCAGGCTCACGCACCCGGCCTCTCTGGCACACACTGCCCATGCACGCTCGGGTCCAGCCACACTGACACACTGTGTCTGTCCCCAGGAGTCCCAGAGCCTGTCCCCCCGCAGGGCGACTGCATTCGCCTCGGCCTGGGGCGTCCTTCTCCGGATGTCTACCTTCCCTCAACGTCGTCACCTCTGGCCCACCTGTCATCTCCTTCGGGGGCGCCCGGGCCACCCCGTTGGAAAAGACAAACCCTACGCCCTCCTCCCCACGCCCTCCTCCCGCTTTTTATTCATTAGCTTTCCTCACAGCAACCCGCGTCACGTCACTGCCACTTAGGTGACAAGTTATTCGTTGGGTTATGGCGTGTCTCCCCTCACTAGGGACAGACACCACGAGGGCGGGAACTCCCGTCCGATGCCTGGTGCAGGAGAGACACTGTAAATGAAAGCTGACGGAACAGACAATGGAGTCCTGCCCCTCGCCTGCCGAGTCACTATCTGGTCTCTCTTTTTTAAGTGTGATCTACTTCAGGCGGACAAAGGGCCACCACCCATGTCTAGCTGCCCTTGCCACTGGGAGGCGACCGTGCTGTAAAGTGACAGTGTTACTCAGAGTCACCACCCCTTCCCACTCACAGGTGTCGGCTTGTGCATTGAAAACTTCTCTGACGCTGGAATAAGAAAGAGGTTTCAAGTGTTCAGTTCACGACTTATTTCCCCAGCACCTGTGTACTGGCCACGGCCACAGAGAGGAGCGAAGTCAGCTCGTGTCTTCTTTTTTCCCGGGCAGCTCGCCGAACGCTGGCAAGGCCGTTCCCCCGCTGACGTGCCGCGGGGAGATGGCACCGATGGGCGCTCACAGCTCCAGGGAAAACAGTTCGGGTGCTAGGCCACCACCGCCCGGGCTGTGGGGAGCAGCCTCAGAGGGAAACTGGACGGAGCGAAGTCCAGCCCACAAAGCGGACATCTGCAGCTCAGCCATGGACCAGCGGGGACTGACGTGTCAGTAAAATGAGTCTCTACTGTGACTGTCCTACAAGTGACGGGTTACCCTCTGACTACAGTTCTTGCCTAGGACAGAGACCGGAAATGGAAGCAGGCATTCTGAAGCAAACCCAATTCACGATACAGATCTGGGTAAAAGGAGCCATCTGCCTTTCTACAAATACATTTGGTTCTTGTTCTCAGGACTCATATCCAGTGCGAGGCGTTCGCTCTAAGAGCACGAAAGTTCGAGAAGTCAGTAGTACGCGCGCCCAGCTCACACCTCAGCCTCTTGGCGGCGCCCAGCCGCTGGGGAGAATGAAATGCTTTTAAATCTGCCATTTTTAGCAGGTTAGCTAATCACGCATTCTAAATAATGGTCACGTGAGAGTTGTTTAAAAAAATAAAGGGCCATCTCTTTACCGTGCAGTCTTCCCTGCACAATGAATCGGCAGCGTGACCAGCTCTCTGCTCTCCACCTTTGCACCCAGCTCGTGCGTCTGGCTGACGAAAAAGTTCAGGGGTCTCTCACTCCCACCCTCTCCTGATGCCCACGCGTTTTGCGGAGAGCAACACCCTGTTGCTCAGCATGCAGAAGACCCGGCACACCGCACCGCTACCCGCCAAATGCACGTGAAAGACGGTCACACAGAGAGTGGGAGGCCCTTGTATACCGACGAAGACGAACATATTGTGCCCAAATCGCGTCACAGAAGCGTGTGCGTGCACTTTGTCTGAACTAGAAGGACAACCCGGGCCAGCCCAGAAGTGCCCCGGTGCGCATTCCGCAACCGGGGGACTGTCCCAAGCACTGAGGCGGGGAGCCCGCACTCGGACAGCGTCCTCCCTGCTTCCCCACAGACCCGCCCCTTCCAGGGCCACTTTACCTCCTCGGGGACGGCCCTGATGTTCACGAAGCCTTTCCTGAAGACGACGAAGACCCGGCGGGCGCCACAGCGCAGGGCAGACGTGGCGCAGTCGAAGGCGGTGTCTCCAGCTCCCAGGACGATCACCGTTCCCCGTACGGACGGCAGCGGTGAGTGACAGCTACACATTCCTGTATGGATGGCAGCGGTGAGTGACAGCTACACATCCCTGAACGATGAAGGAGAGACTGGGTCTGCGTGACAGCTCAAAAGACACGGGCACTCGCAGCAGCCACGCGGGGCCGCCGTGCGGGGCGGCTGTCACTCCCCAGTTACTCTGTCCCCTGGACGACTGCTTCCCCTGCGTTTAGAACTGTGCTCGAACCCGGGATTCACAGTCCCCGCCGTTCCCGTCTTCCTTCCGTCTCAAAGGACAGCCCCGGCACATTCTGCAGCCTTACGGTTGTAACACAACGGAATCAATCAACTCAAATTCTCTCTGGCAAGGGGGTGATGTGTATTTTTAACCCGACATCACTCATTTTCTCTTAATTGGAGGGAAAAGCAGCGATCCTTCTGACCTGGCTCAGTCGTTCACAGCATTTCATGAAAACAGGTTATTTAGCTGTTATGATAGGAGACACCTGTCACACGGAGCCCTGCGATCTGTCACGGTCGGTCAGCTTTGAAAGCTGACACGAACGTGCTGAGTCAGCGTCCCTGATATGACGGAGGGATTTCCGAGGACCCTTTTTTTAAATAGTTAAAACCTTCTCCCATTTACCACTTTTCTATGTGGGTTTTGTTCGTCCGTTTGTTGGTAAAAGTGAGTGTTAAAGGAAAAAGCGGCTTCTACGTGTGCGTCTCTCTAGAGCACCTCTATGAAGATTTGGTGTCCGCATAAAAATCCACGTGAAAAAGTAAAATGCAGGTGCTCTCCCTGGGCTAAGCGGTGGGGAGCTACCAGACTGAACGAAGCTGGTGGAAGATGAATCGCTGTAATTTGTGGAGCGGCCTCACGGCTGGCGCAGGCCTGTCACTGCCGTGTGTACTCACTCTGCGGGAAGCCTTCACACGTGAGTTCCGTGTGCCATGCCCTCCTTCGGGAGGGTTGCCGGTGCACACGCAGCCTGTTCTTGAGGTGGAAGGGGGGGTGCACGCCTTTAGCTGTGAACTTGTACAGGAGGATCTATTAGGGCAAGTGCTTTAATTGTGGGCGAAAACCAAACTGGATCTTTCGTACACGCAATGGGCTGTCAGAACAGACATTAAAAACGTGTCCGAAGGATTTAGATGGTCTGGTTTTGGAGAAACACGACAGGTGCTTTATCACCAAGACCTCACTCCAGTCCGGACATGGAACAGCATTAGCTCTGGGGTGTCCCTGGGCCTGAGAAGTGACTTCACACGAGGGCTGCACACTGAGGGTCTGTCACCGCGTTTTACCATGACTTCGTATGCTCGCTGTTCTCGGGAGACAGCCTCTCTGCCTGGGTTGGACACCAATCATACGATCGTTTGCCCGACTTCAAAAGAAAACATCAAGTACAACAGCCCCCAAACTGAAGACCCTGCAAGTCCTGAGAACATCCCCCCGTTTGCTCACGGCCCGCACTTGGAAGCCGTCACACACGAGACGGCTGGACCTGCCCTAGGACAGTGAAGCAGGCTCGCGGCGAAGCTTCACGGGATGGCCAGCGGGGGCATCCGGCTCCCTGTGTCTTCCTCATATCAGTGTGATACAAGGGCCCGAGCCGAACGACGTCCCACTGGCCTGGACTTGGCGTAAATTCACTGCACAGGCAATGACACAGGCAACAGGAGGAGCAGAAGGCCGGGCGCTGTACCTGCTTTGCTGGCCTTGGCCACGAGCGGCAAGAAGTCTTTAGACGTGTAAAAGCCCTGCTCCCGCGTCAGGCCTTCGAAGATGGGGTCTTTGTTGGGTTCTGGCAGGCCTGAGTAACGAGAATGGACAAAAGTGTCATTAGCAGGAGGAGAAACTGTTCCTGTTGGATGTTTAAAAATATAGAAAGCTGGAATTATTAAAAGAATGTGGTTCTTGGAAAAAATCTGTAAGCAAATCAACATGAGGGAAGGCATGTAATACCTGGTGGTGTGACAGACCTCAGAGTCTTCCTTTATGCACATCGTGAAGCTCACCTTCAAGCACATGTCAGGGGTGATCCCCCAAAACGGAATTTAGTTATAAAAACTGTGTATTTGTTCTTACACGTTTAAACTTTAGCCACCTTCCAAGTCCTCTCCACCTGCTGCAATAGACCTATGGAAACATTTTTTCCATTGCTCGGTTTTTGAACTCCTTGATTTCGATGTCTTTTAGTGTTCCTACTGGGTTTCGTTTTCACCTCCTCCACATCAGCAAAATGTTTCCCTTTGGGGACTTTTTCATCCAGGAAGCAAAAAAATGTTGTTGGGGGTGAGGTGGGGTGAGTCGGGAGGTGTAGCACAGGAGTCATGCCATTTTTGGTCGAAAACAGCTGGACACTCAGTATGGGGTGGGCGGGTGTGCTCACAAATCACCCATCATGCAATGGGTAAATGAAAGAGTCTTCAACAACAACAACAAATCACTGAAATGAACGCAACCTCTCACAACAACACCAGCCGGTCCACTGATCCAGATGGGTTCCGAGAACACCTAGTGGGGGAAACCTGTACCACAAGGGGCCCGCCCTCCAGAAGATAATTCTGGTTTTCTTTGGGCTCTATATAGGTATTCAGAAACATGACACACACGTACATACACGTACAGTGTTAGAGGAAAGTCACTAATACTCTTTCTTCATGTTAGAATAAAAATTAAACTACTGGCATATTCACATGTTAAAGAAAGAAAACTCATCACAAAAACTGAAATACGTTACAGATATATATTTGACTACTTCCTGAATAAGGGAGAGCATTAAAAACAAGACAAAAAAGTCAAGGAGAAAATACATTTCAGCACAAAAACTCAGCTATTCTACATTTAAAATACATTGCAAACAAATTAGAGGGAAAATGACTCACCAGGAGAGTATGTTAGCAAACGAAATGTCTTTACTACGTAAAGAAGTTTCTCAGTTTCACGAGGAAACATCAGCTTTTCAATAGAGGCATAAACAAAAAATGTTTTGTAAAAACTGGCATACGAAAAAATGTAAATACCTTAGAAGCACCGAAAATCTTACCTTATGCTACTAATTTAAGGACTACGAACGCAGACAGTGAGACCTGGTTTCCCTCCTCCGACACAGGAAGGATGTAAGGAAACCAGACCGCACGGTGAGGGTGGGGTCAGGCCGGTCACGCTCCTTTGACGGACAGGCAGCTTTGCACTCAGTTTCTAGAAAACAATCTATCCTACGGACGCAGTAAGACGTGCAAATAAAGGTTTAATATGCACAAAATGGTTAATGCAAAAATTTAAAAAAAGAGAGACAAAAAAAAAAAAAACAGGATGGAGGACTACCATAATGTCAACGGAATGAATAAATTAGTATCATTTTTAAAAACACAACAGAACAAAACGCAGCCATGGAAACAAACATTTGAGAAGTGCGGTATGGGGTTTTAGTCCAAATATAGTGCTAAACGAACTCCCAGGAGACAAAGCTCTGTCTCGTGTGAGTCAAGTTGCATAAAACAAAATACATCAATTATGTAATCTGAACAGGGATCCCTTCTGGTGGTGGGGTCATATATACGGTATTTTATTTTTTCATTTTGTCCTCATTTTCCTAATTTTCTACACCATGCACGTAACAATTATATAATTAGGAAATAATTGTTAGGATTTTGAGAAGAAGATGAAGAGCAAGCTGAATTTTTTTTCCAAGTATAAACAAAGCAAATCGGGTATCAGTTGCCTCACTGCAGGAAAGGGAAGAATTCATTCATCTGCGTTCTGTAAGGACTGGGGGACATTCCTAGTTTGGTTTTATTTACTGTCCAAAACTCCTTCCACCCCAGCAGTGGGTCCTTGCAGGGAGGTATTTTACACTGAAATGGAGTGATGGGTGGTGGCCTGGGGGAGCACAGAGTAAGAAGCGTGGGGATGACTCTGTCCCAACAGAAAGGCAGGCCCCGGACCCGCTGTGAAGGTGGATAGAGGCTCTGGATTGAGTGTGTGACCAGCAGCAAACCTTCGGTGACCCTTCACATCAGGAAATGCCGTTCTCTGTCCGGCACCCCTTCATCTCCTCTCCTCTCAGGGTTCGCCCTTTCCTTACAGATTATTTTAAGATCACTTGGTTTATTTAAATTATCTTCATTACCTAGGAAGGTTAGGCAAGTCATTTCACTTGCCTTTGCCGTGGCTTCCCTGTAAATGAACTGGGGATAAGGCTACTTCTGCACTTTCTGATCGAGAGGGATATTCCGTAGGTATATTTGTAACATGGTAACTGTTACATAAATGTGTGGTTACTTACATAATTCTTTTAGAAAGCCTGGAATAGCGGTGGTTACAGTGACACAAAAATACCTGACCATGCACTTGAAAACTCTAAAGACAAAGCAAAGTTTCTGGTAAACCGTTTTTAAAAAATTACTGCAGTCCGAGCTACACTTGGTTAGTGAAACCAGCCTTTGCATGCGTTATACTGCAAATTAAGATTTGAACAAGGAATTGTTTCCCTTCTCATGTTGCTATACCATGAAACAGCATACGCTTTGCACAGTAGCTTCATTTTCCTGTTAAAAAAACCCTAAACGCCAACCTGAAGTGCCATGCAATTTTAAGGTGATAGAATAAACAAAAACCTTTAAAACGAACTAAAAACAAGCCCTGGAGAATGTGAGCGGCAGGCAGGAGTTCCACCACTGCTGGCAGTGGAATCCGGCATCTGCCTTCGCTGCCCTGGAACCAAGCTCTGCCTCACCGCCAGGGGCCCCCACAGAGAGGGGGTGGCGCCTGGTGCCCACTCTGAAGACCCCCGCTGCTATGATTGACCAGGAGAAACGCAGGCTTTCCTACCACGCCCCCCACCAGACCACAGAGAGGGCTCTCGCTTCTGCAGGAGCCGTGTCACAAGAGAGACGCTCAGGTTAAAACATGGATTTCACTTTTTCACCTGGACCAAGCCTCCGCCAGGACCCCTTGGTTTCCTGTGCTTTCCTGCAGTCTGCACTCACCACGGCAATGAACGTCACGTTTCCCAGGCCCGGTTCTCCCCGGAAGTGCTCACGGGCACCGGCTGGACTGGCTGGACGTTCTGGCCTTGGCAAGTTGGCTTCAGGGGAGGGGAGATGAGCAGGTTGGGGGACACACCCCTGTGACTGGGGTGTCCCTGCAGCTCAGGTCACGCACACTCAGATCCTGAGGGTTGGGGACCCTTCTCTCCCCCAGCTGGCGACGGGTCATCCCTCAGGCCCTGGGACTGTGTGTGAAGCTCACCTCGCAGACTCCGCGGCTGAGTGGCGGAGCTGGTCGAAGAAGCTGCTGGTGGTTAGGAGCAGGGCCTGCACCATCAGGCCAGCATTGGAGAGTCTCCCCCACCCCCCACCCCGTGACCTGCCCTGTGACCCGTGTAAGTTCCCGTGACGCCGGGTCATGTGTACATGGCTAGGCCAGACCATCACCTCAGCTGACCAGACGCTGGCCCAGGTGTGCCGTGAAGGCACTTCACAGATGTGGGCAATGCCTGCAAGCAGCTGACTGCAAGCAAAGGAGGCTGCCTGCACATCCTGGGAGGCCTCGCAGCCGGGTTTCCCTGCAGAAGAAGGGATTCTGTCTGTCTACCTGTCTGCAGGCCCGAAAGGCAGGTTTCAGACGGGCTGGCTCTCACAGCTGCATGAGCTAAGGCCTCCAAATAAATCATGGATCTATACACTCACACAGAAAACCTATATATACACACATATTTTAAATCTGTATATAAAAATTATATATAAATTACACATAAAAGTTAGTTATATAAAATACATAAATAATTATGTATGTATATGCATATCTCCTAATGGATACATTCCCTAAATCTCTCTGATAAAACTGATCTATGTAACTACCTATATCTGTCTGTCTACAGCTACATATATTCACACAGCATTAAGATCTGGCACACAGTGAATGTCCAGCAAACATTAGCTATTCGGGTTAAGACAGGCTTACCTATTCTACGCTTATCAAATTTTTCAAACTTCACATCTTACGTGAAGGAAAGAATAAAGCTTAAATCAGAATCAAGTATGAAACTTTGGCACATTATGTGTGCTGCACAGCAGGGAAAATGAAGCCGCTGTAAGTGGGACACGAAAGGCGAGGAAACTGGCCAACCCCCGCCTGTCATCAGAAGGTCCCCCGAGAGCAGGCGGCGCACTGATGAACTAGGTGTGTGTCTGCGCCGTGACGATGTCAAAATGACACCGAAGTGACTTTTCAATCCCCCCTTCAGTGGGGAGGAGGAGGTTTATGAATAAAGAGGAAGTGGCGAAGATTTGACAAACATAACAGCTTGGCGTGGAGAGAGGATTTTTATCTTCAAGAAGTCCTGGCGGTGGCACTGTCCCTAGAACAGTCACCGAAGATGCTGGTATTTCGGCAGGTGTGTATACAAAGGGACATGTCCCGAAGAACCACTGAACATGACCGTGTTCGAGTTCTTCAAAGAGAAAAGAAATAAAAATTTTCTTATAGGACCGGAAAACTCATTTAACATTTATTGCTTACCTGTATCATAGGCATTGCTCCCAATGCACGACACATAAGTGATTTTTTAATATAGTAATTCACTGAATTCTCAAAACGACTCTATATGGACAACTCGTAATATGACCCAAGTTTCAGAGGTGAGGAAACCGAGGCACATGAAAATAACTCTGCCAAAGCTCACAAAACAGGTAAGTACCATCGTCAGTTGGACTGTACCAACTGGACAGTGCAGCTGCAGAATCTGATCTTTCATTTCAAAACGCGGCCCTTTTGATGCGTACGGTCGCAACAAAGCTCTGTCAT